CCTCGCGACACAACATCTCTGCCTTCCGACACAACATCCTTTCCTCACCATGACTACAGAAAAAAATGTCAATCTTGTAAACATGAACATCAGTACAAAATCTGACTATGACAACCATGGCTTCTCCCATAAAGGTACATTAACATACTACCCGATGCTGCTACCTTTCTCCTTTCTTTTAACCCTTCATTGATCTACGTCACTCATTCATCCACCAGTTTTTCTTCACCTTCTTGCTCACCTTCTTTTAGAAGAGAGGGAAATCTTTTTCTTGCCTCCAGACACCTTAGCTTCAGAAGCTGGATCCTTTCCCGTGTTTTTTTTCTGACTAACTATTCTTCTCATCTTGTTTTGCTGAGGAATCTTCTCATTTCTTCATATTTATTTTCTTTTCTGTGTAGATAGAATTCAGTTGGTTACTCATTCATACTGACTCGTGATGAATATACCATGCCATACCCTCTGATGTATAGTATGTGTGTGTGTGTGTGTGTGTGTGTGTGTGTGTGTGTGTGTGTGTGTGTGTGTGTGTGTGTGTGTGTGTGTGTGTGTGTGTGAAGCAAGACATCATGGAAGGGAATTTTGTTCACTATTCCTTCTCCCAAAGTGAAGTAATCGACAGGTCAGTCTAGTTAAGCTTTTCCCGTACATTCCGATGCCCATTTTCCCGAGGACAAAGATGAGCACAACGTCAATATAACAGAGCTACGTTCCGTTGCTGAGGTGGAATACTGACCAAAAGTTCGGCATATCCGTGTTCCTGGATCAAATTAGTGAGAAATACTCTGAGTAAATATCAATTGTTTCGTTGTAAATGCCGTTTTTATAGTGTTACTGTATGGCGATGGGTTCACCCCTTAGCACGGTCGAGCCAGCCTCTTCATGGAATATATGGAATAAAGATTTTTGTAATCATTATCTACAATAACATAACAAGGTAATGTTATGTCGACGACGTCATCGCCACCATGAGGAAGAAGTAGGTTATGCGAAACATAACTTGCAATCAATTAGCCAAAACATCACATATGTGTCCATTTACTTAGCTGTTTCTCGGTATTACCTGGAGTTTACCTGGAGAGAGTTCCGGGGGTCAACGCCCCCGCAGTTTATAAGATTTTATAGACTGCTCATTTCTAAGCCAGAAGTGACTTTTTGGGGAGATAAAGAGAAGAAAACATTGAAATGAGAAATTTAATTATTTACCCTTACTTGGACGAGCTTCAATCTGCGAACTAAATTCTCTTTCGTAATAATAAAAACATTGTCTTCAGAGGTTTTCAAATATCATTAAAACATTTGTTTAAAAATGGTTTATTGAAGACACCCATATAAATATTAGCATTTATAAGATTTTCTACACCAATTACGATGGTACACAAGGGTAACAAATTATTTTAATGATGTCTTCATCAACATAGATGATCTCTGCTATTTCAGCATATATGTACAGAGAACTATGCTATTAATTTCAATGGTGCTAAAATATAATGGGATGCAATAATATACAGCAGACAAGATAAGGAAACTGAATATAATTAAATGCATTTTAGTTCATAAATTTGGCCCACATTAAGGGGACTATAGACCTGCAAGAAAAAGAAAGTTGAGGCCACCGTATATATTATGTTAGGTCATCCGTTCATCTTCATGAATTTTTAAGCTATATAAATTCAGGTATAAAAAATGTATATGAAAGTAATTGTTTGTCAAGAGAGTTGTTGTATGAGGACAGTGACAGGTGAAGCAACTGGCCATGGTCAATATGACTCTTGAGCACAGTGACAGGTGAAGCAACTGGCCATGGTCAATATGACTCTTGAGCACAGTGACAGGTGAAGCAACTGGCCATGGTCAATATGACTCTTGAGCACAGTGACAGGTGAAGCAACTGGCCATGGTCAATATGACTCTTGAGCACAGTGACAGGTGAAGCAACTGGCCATGGTCAATATGACTCTTGAGCACAGTGACAGGTGAAGCAACTGGCCATGGTCAATATGACTCTTGAGCACAGTGACAGGTGAAGCAACTGGCCATGGTCAATATGACTCTTGAGCACAGTGACAGGTGAAGCAACTGGCCATGGTCAATATGACTCTTGAGCACAGTGACAGGTGAAGCAACTGGCCATGGTCAATATGACTCTTGAGCACAGTGACAGGTGAAGCAACTGGCCATGGTCAATATGACTCTTGTGCACAGTGACAGGTGAAGCAACTGGCCATGGTCAATATGACTCTTGAGCACAGTGACAGTGAAGCAACTGGCCATGGTCAATATGACCTTGAGCACAGTGACAGGTGAAGCAACTGGCCATGGTCAATATGACTCTTGAGCACAGTGACAGGTGAAGCAACTGGCCATGGTCAATATGACTCTTGAGCACAGTGACAGGTGAAGCAACTGGCCATGGTCAATATGACTCTTGAGCACAGTGACAGGTGAAGCAACTGGCCATGGTCAATATGACTCTTGAGCACAGTGACAGGTGAAGCAACTGGCCATGGTCAATATGACTCTTGAGCACAGTGACAGGTGAAGCAACTGGCCATGGTCAATATGACTCTTGAGCACAGTGACAGGTGAAGCAACTGGCCATGGTCAATATGACTCTTGAGCACAGTGACAGGTGAAGCAACTGGCCATGGTCAATATGACTCTTGAGCACAGTGACAGGTGAAGCAACTGGCCATTGTCAATATGACTCTTGAGCACAGTGACAGGTGAAGCAACTGGCCATGGTCAATATGACTCTTGCAGTATTCATTAACCCTTATGTTCTGTTGACGACTGGTTTACTTTGGTGTTCCTTTTTTTCTGTTTGTGCACCTGACTTGCTTGTACAAATAAGACCTTCCTTCCAATTAGTTTAGTCTAGCAGGTGGAAAGTCCTAGTTGACTGGACTCGGTGGGCCCTACACAGTAGAAACAAGCTATATAGGATGTGTCAAAGTGATATCATCACTTTGAGACAAATTTTTGTCAACTGAGGATCGGGTACACACCTGCCCCATATAGTCACTTGTTTGTAGGTGTTCCTGTGTCCCCTTTTTCCCCTCTGTGTAGCCTTTGCTGTGCAGCTGACTGTGGAACACATTTTCAATAGTTTGCTAACGGGTTAAGACTTTTCACCTTCATCATGGTTTTTATAATTACCGAGGTACCTGTAGGAACCTCGGGGAACTTTTAAGGAATTATTTTGATATTAATAATTTATTGTGGCTTGTAAATGATACTGGCTGGTTTAGTTGGAGGTGCTCAGAGTTTTATTCACGACTGTGGTTTTTATTTTCAGTTTAAGCTATGTTTTTATTATGTGTTGATACGAGCGATGAGTGACCTACATGGCCAAAGTGCTCAATGAAAATCATTAATACAATTACTATAATACTCAATTAGACAGAAAATTTTTGCATTATTTCTATGTTGCTAAATGTGGGTTATTCCTATAATATATATATATATATATATATATATATATATATATATATAATATATATATATATATATATATATATATATATATATATATATATATATAATATATATATCCAACAGAAGAAAGTGTAGCCATCAGCTACCCGGTAAATGTATCAAAGAGCAGCAGCAAGAAACTTAAGTGGACATGCTGCCAGATGGTCTTCATCATCCTGGGTTCTCTCTTCGCCCTGGTGGGGATCATCATGCTGGCCGGGGCGTACCAGGCACTCTTCGACGCCATCCTGAAATCTGTAAGCAACTTCAAAGCACCACACTGATTTTTGTCTGAAAGTCTGGCGATGAGAGTAGCATTTGTCTTACGACTAGTGAATGGAGGTTCGAGCCTTTTCCAGTCCTTGCACTGAATGACCAGCAGGAACTTGGATCTTATAGCAGTAATAATAATAATAATAATAATAATAATAATAATAATAATAATAATAATAAAGTGAGTTTCATGCAGGAATCTGATGACGCCATAGTTATTTAATGTTTAAACTGGGATTGCAAAATAAGTGAGTGTTTTAATGTATGGATGGGGTTTGGGTATTAAAGATAGTTACTCGGACATAAATTTGAAATGATCACAGCTATTTTTTTCCCGATAATTAGGTGATTTTTAGAGATTCAAAAGATGAAACAGTTTGAGAAAATGTGTGAGAGAAGTTTAAAATGAAGGCAAAAAAGAAACAGGGTGATAGAAGTAAGAGGAAGACTAGCAACTAAAAGACTAGATGCAAAATAGGAAGCAAAAGTATATACAAATGAAATATATCAGCCAGCCAGAATTTGATCTAAGACACTTGAAGTATCCACGAATGCAGCAGTGACACACTGACACCGTAGGTCACTAGGCTTCGAATGATACATAACTTTGAGCGGCTACCAGCACGGGGAAGATCAATGTTTTCCCATATTTGCGAGTGATTGTATCGGCCAAGAGAAATGTTAAAGGTGATGTGAATCACAAAACAAAGAAAAAATAAAAGGAGTGTCTAGGAATCTATGAAGAGAAGGAAATTTGCCATTATATACAAAAAAGGGGTATTTATCCTAGTGTACCGTATTAATTCCGTTTTTGTATTGATATTAGGTGTTTTTCCTTTGAATGTTGCAGCCAGAAGACTGTACAGTGGAGATGCTGAGCCGAATTGATCTCGAATTTTCCCTCACATCTTCTTCAGTCCATTCAGATTTATATACCTTATTAATAAATTGTTTTTGTTTTCATCCTTAAAAACCATTCCAAAAAAAAAAATATATAATATATATATATATATATATATATATATATATATATTTTATATATATATATATATATATATATATATATATATATATATATATATTAATACTCTTAACAACTACAATGAATAAAATTTTATTTAAGTGCTTTCTAACATTTTCGCATTGGTGGAAATTGTTCTCTCCCAATGTTAATCTATTTCACAGTAAATTATCACATATCTCATCTAACAAACCAACTTGCATCACCATCAGCAAAGCAGCGCCGTAGCTCCCTCCTGAGAACTAGTCAAGTCCCTGGTGGACAAAACATCTCGGTATAACGCCATAAATTGCATCTTGTGTCTTACTAACATACCTAACTCCCTCGTCACTCTGACAGCAAATGGAGATTGAACCTGGATCTCAGGCGTATGATATCTGGCGGCTGACCCCTGTTCCACTCTACATCTGCTTTCATATATTCAATCTAACTAACCCGAAGGACTTCCAGAAGGGATCCAAAGCCATTCTGGATGAGGTTGGACCCTACTGTTACAGGTGAGAGGAAGGCAAAGGTTGTCTTGATGAGTGTAACACAGGTACAACACCTGGGTGTCAGGGATGTCTTGATGAGTGTAACACAGGTACAACACCTGGGTGTCAGGGGTCTTGATGAGTGTACACAGATACAACACCTGGTGTCAGGTTTCTTGATGAGTGTAACACAGGTACAACACCTGGGTGTCAGGGTTGTCTTGATGAGTGTAACAGTACACATGGGTGTCATATGATTACCGGTGAAATGGTTTTTTACTGAGAGGGGTTTTTCCCACCAAGGGCAATATCAGTTTAATACCGAGACAAAAATATTTAGCCTTTTATAGTGAAGCCATAGGATGGAGAGAAGTAGCAATATTAGATGTGGTAGACACCTGCTATTACTACATCTCTCCATCCTCTGGCTCCACTAGAAAAAAAAACTCCATTCTCACTGTCACTGTATTAAAGGATAAAAATAAACCTAGTGGGGAAAACATCTATCAACAAAGATACCTCGGTGTTGCACATGTGTTTTCCATCGTCTTATTATATGACTTCTATCTAAAGAAGATGGTTATCTTACTAACGCCATTAACTTCAACTGAGTGAGACGTTTCACCCCTTAGGTGTTTCACTTGTGTCTTATTACAGTGCCCCTCGGTTTTTATGTGGAGATCCTTGGCGGTGGTTAAATGTTTAGATCTGGTGCTGGAATGTAAGATTTGTGGTATATGTTAAGAAGATGCTGTTTGGGTGCATTGTTCTTGTTACAGATAATCAGACAGGTAGACAGACAGGTAGACGGACAGGTAGACGGACAGGTAGACGGACAGGCTGAGGAGCTCAAGAAAATTTCGTACTTGTATTTGAGAATCATCTGTACTGTCATCTCCATCCCGCTCAAGTTAAACATTCCTTCAATATTAGGCTTTGAACCTTTATAATCATGTATTTCTATACTAAGCTTTGAACCCTTATAATCATAACTTCAGTACTAAGCTTCGAACCTTAATAATCATGCATTTAGTACTAAGTATTAAGCTTTAAATCTTTATCTTAGGAAACTGGTTTAGAAAAACACATGAGAAAACACTAGGACATACTTTTTAGAAAACGTCTCGGTCCTGGGACCTTCATCACTTCTGAAGTGATCAAGGTCCCAAGACCTAGTGTTTATTCACGTGTCTTTTTAAACCAGTCTGTCGGTATCTATTACCAAATTTTATACCATCTTAGGGAATATCACGAGAAGCAGAACCTGACCTTCCACGACAACAAAACTGTGACCTTTCTGCAGCAGCGTGGTGGATCTGGGACCAGGAGGCCTCCGGTAACCTCAGCCAAGACGACGTCATCATCACTCTCAACACCATCCCTGTGGTGAGTTATCCCTGTGGCGAGTTATCCCTATGGTGAGTTATCCCTGTAGTGAGTTATCCCTGACGTCGGTACTGACGTCTGTGCTGACGTCGGTGTCAGTGGTATGCCACTGGCATGATTTCAGTCAGTACTGACATGGTGCATGTCTTACTCCGTCAATATCATCATAAGAAAATTAAAATAGAGCACTACGCTACGCCTATTGGCCCAAACTAGGCAGGCTCTTCTTGATACCTACTCTTGATAAAGAATACAGTACCACGAGGAAGGAGACTTTTTACTGACGTCAGAGAAAAAGTGCAGCAGTTGAAGATATCGCCACAAGTGAGCTCACTTCTGACATCGCACTAACAGTCTACTTACTCCTGACCTCCTCCTTCAACAGTCTGCCGCGTGGAGTGTGAGAGACAAACCATTAATGCTCTTCGGCCTCAATACGATGCTGGTAACCATCAACGAGGAGCTTACCGTGGAGACGACCGTCGGAGAAATCTTGTTCAACGGTACCTCGGTGAGTTTCTAGCGAGTCTACACTGATCTCTTAGTGAGTCTTCACTAATCTCTTAGTGAGTCTCTCATCTCTCAGGAATAGGAAAGATGCACCAGTAGGATGTGGCAGTACCGTATGAACCTTGTGATGTTCTCTGTCTTACCTAGCACTGTTTCTGCGTCTCAGGATCCCCTGTTGGACTGGATGCACGACCAAATGGCCAACAGCTCCATCAACCTGCCTGATGTGATCGACATTCCTGCAGGGCTCCTTGACTACGACAAGTTCGGCTGGTTCTATAAGGTCACAAACAAGATTTCTTTTATTTGCCAGTTTTTGTAAGAATTATGTATAAAAGCACAGCATAATGAGAATGTTTTCTTGTATTTAATGCTTCTTTGATGACATTCTTTTAAATGCATCGATTGTATCATAAATTTTCTTCAGAAATCTGATATTTCATCGTGGATTTATTTATTTATATGCTGTTTGATTTTTCCATTTTTTGAGAATTAAGAACTTCATAAATTCCATATTCTTAGTTCTCTTTTAGTTTGTAAAAATAACTTGCAGTCTTCCCCCCCCCCCAAGTAAAAAGAATCGCACGTGTCTTTTTCATTCTATAGTCGAATCTAAAATTCTTCAGTTCCAACATAAGGGGCAAACTGTTTTCTTTTACAGCGAAACTTATCACTGACGTATGACGGCCTCTACAACATGCACACTGGTCAGGACACTCTACAGAACTTAGGTAAGCCAAACAAAACTCTCTCTCTCTCTCTCTCTCTCTCTCCTCCTCTCTCTCTCTCTCTCTCTCTCTCCTCTCCTCTCTCCTCTCTCTCTCTCCTCTCTCTCTCCTCTCTCTCTCTCCTCTCTCTCTCTCTCTCTCTCTCTCTCTCTCTCCCTCTCCCTCTCTTTCTCCACTCTTTAGTCTACAGAAAGTCTATTTCTCAAGATAATTAAGTTAAAATAATGCAGTATTAATTATCCTGATAAATTAGACACATGTGCAACACTTGGGTATCTTTACTGAGGAAACGTTTCGCCACACAGTGGCTTCATCAGTCCAATACAAAGGAGAATGGTGAAGAACAGGAAGAGTTTGAAGTAATCAGTCCCTCAGCCTGGAGTCGATGTGGTCAGTCCATCAATCTTGAAAAGAATACAGCATATGTGCGAAGAAGTTGCTTCTATACTGTAGGCAGGTGAGGTGCAGCAGTCGTAGGTGGTTTCACATTTGACAAATCAAAATGTGGAAGTAGGTCATGCCTAAAGGTTAGGAAAGTGAAGAATTCCCTGCATAAAGATACCAATTATGTTTCTGTGTCTGAGAGGAATGTAGATAAATGATTCGGAGAACAGACAAGTCTGGGTTGAATCATCATCCTGGTCATCTTGTTCACCTCTGCCCTGCCTATATTTATTGTTCTAATGATAAGACTGCAGCTTGGTTGTGAAACAAGCATCTTTCCTGCTCTGTGTCCCTTTACAAATCATCAGCATAACTCAAGTGTCTTTCTTATACCTGGTACCACTTGTGTACTCTGCTAGAGCCTCGTTCTCAACAGGGCTGATAGACTGGTGGAACTACGAATACAACACCACGTTCTTCGACTACCCTTGTAATGTAGTGACGGGATCTGCGGGCGAGCTCTGGCCTCCAGGCCTGCAGAAAGACTTCATTCAGTTCTTCAGCTCAGACCTATGTATGTAAGTCTTCGCCTTTGATTTTTTTCCGAGGAAGGCAGCTAGCAAACGCCTGTACAAGCCTACGTGGTGGTGGTATGTTATTTGTCAGGAAATAGAACAAATGTTTACTGATACATGTCTTAGTACAGCTGCCTTTACCTCACTGCGCCCCAGACTAATAGTAAAGAGTGCGGCATAAGTTTCTTTTGCAGATAAATATCAGCACTGAATATTCGAAGCCAATCAGAAGAGATTTTCACAAGCTATCGGATGAAAGCTGTTATCTGAATTTTCTGATTAAAAATAAATTGGCATCTGAAAAGTCTCAAACGATTTTGAAACTTCCACTAAGACACACCAACCTTGAAAGTTTAAAGCCAATCAGAAGCAGCATTCTCTAGTGATCACACAGATGCTAACATTCCAAAATACACCAACACTCCAAGTTTGAAATTGCTCAGAAGCTTCATTCTCAAGTTATCGGTAATAAAAGGGTGAAGTCAGTTATTTGAAGCATTCACAAATTACCTCACGAAAATCTATTTCGATTTCACAAATTTTGTTAATAAAATAGGCAAGTTAGCTGGTTAAAATCACTTCAAACCTCTGAGTAAGATGCATCAACATTTATGGTCTGAAGCCGATCAGACTAGACATTCTCTAGTTATCAAATGGAAAACAAATTGTTTATCAAAATTAGCAGATTAAATCTTACGAACCTCAAAGAAATGCAAATCTTCCTTTGAGAGAAATACAACACTGCTACAAGTTTGAAACAAACTAGAAGAGGTATTCTCCAGTTATCACATGTAACCTCAAAATTCAGTGTATATTAACTATGTTAGTAAATTAGCAGGGTTTAGCACTTGGTTATGATTATAATAACAGTAAACTAGCAAATTTGCATCTACATAGTTTAAACCCAAAGGGCGTCGTCCATGGTATAATATGAATCATAAAACATTAAATATTCGGGCCTTTCAGGTGAGGCTTGTGCAAGTTATTATAATTCACAGATAACAGACAATTTATTTTCTAATAAAGTTTGTCACAGGTTTAATTATTCACAGGCGCAGGATTTAGTTTATATGGCATTCCAAAAACATTTTATTGCCAGCACAACTCCCAGTTTTGCCAAAAAAAAAATCCATATATTGGGTGGAAATTTATTTTAAAGCTCTTTTTTTATAATGATTTCATAAACATATTAATTTCAAAAGAATAAATCCCCCAACACCCGCCTCCTGACGAGGCGAGTGTCGGGGAGAAGAATTTAGAAACCGTCGAAAGAACTACTAAAATAAAAAAAATCATTAACCTTTCAACATTTATCTTATGAGAAGCAAAGTTCACACAATACCGGGTTATTTTGATAGTTTTTAAAAACAAAATTGGCAAAATGATAATAGTATCAAATTGTGAGATTCTTTTTATTTTATTTTTTTTTTTTGCATAACAGTAGAGAATATGAAATAGAATACAAAAGTTGCGAAGGGCTTAGATACCATTTTCTTCACACTTTTACAATGGTTATAAATGACCATAATTTTGAAAGGGGTGGACCGGTAAGCCAGCGGAAGGCCTCGGTCAGATGACCAAAAGCTCCAAAGGCGGATCATCATCTGACTAAGACCCGCGTCAGGAAATATTTGTCCTGTTTCCTGACGAACCTTACCTAACCTAACCGTCACACTTTTAAGTATAGGAGCTGATTACGGACTCTGACACAGTTTTAAAATTTTTCTTCTTTCAAGATTTTCATTTATAACTCCAGACCACCTGGGCAGATTCGCTTCAGATTTGCAATGCTGATAATTATAACTACGGGAAGATTCATGAAACTTTAAGAATGACAGGTGACCATCTGTCATTGCAATTAACGAATTCCTGATTTTAGTGTCTGTGCAATAACTTGACACAGCTCTTATGATCAGCCTCTAAACCCTCAACACTTACATAAATTATTTAGAAGAATATTCATATTGTTATTGGAGTGTGTTGTGCCAATTTCCCAATTATTGTCAAAGGTTTTTTATCAATAACATGAGGATGCCTCGTCTGAACACTTTGAATTTTTAATGACTGATGCCTATTATAAAAATAATAATTTCATTTAAGACTAGGATGTGTTGGTGAAAATTTGGCAATTTACTGACATAGTTATTAATATGGAATTGTTGGACTTCGTGTGATAAGTGGAAAATGCCTATTGTGATCAGCATCAAACGTTTAGTGATACTGGGTTTTGCTGAAGGGCAGTTTAACTTTGTTATTAGGGTGTTAGGTTTTAATCTGCTAAAGGCCGACGGGTCCATGCTAGGCAGGTCCTTCTCAAACCCAACTATTCTTTTTCACATTTTTGGTTCAGTCTTGGACTATGTAGGTGTCAATATGCCAGTTTTATTAAGAAAATTATGGGGTATTTTTTTCTGTGAGATAAGTAAAGAATGCAACTTCTGATCAAATTCAGATTTCAGTGCTTCTGTATTTCACTCGGAGTATGGTTGTTATTTTTCTTGGGTCGTGTAAGTTCTGATTTGCATATTTTATTAAACAAACAGGGATGCTGGTTAACTTCTAACTTACAAAATTGGTGTATCTTATTTAGTGGTAAGTTTATATTGATTTTGGAGTGTGTAAGCGCCAATTTGCCAGTTTTATTGTAGAAACTGGAATATTTGTTTTCATGCAACAACTTCTGAATGCTTCCTTTAATTTGCTTCAAATCGTCAATGCAGTAGTGAGGTACAGGAGGCTGAGTCATCCACATACAAGGGATACCATTCTCAGCTCGCGCACAGACTGAAATAAGTCTAGTTATTATTATATTCCTAGGGCTTTGAACCCATAGGTGTCTTGCAGTGCCTGAGGAGGAGAATAATATTAAGTTTAATCGAAGAATGGGTAGGGTAGCTCCAGTTCCTTGAATCAAAAGCTTTTCACCATGACAGGTATAGCAGAAAAATATTCGGAGGAGAGCAAATTTTAAATATAGAGGACTTTTCACTCCAAGTTGAGCCCCTCAACTTTGGGTCACCTTAACCTGGCGTTGTTTGACTGCCAAACTTGATTAATAACCTCGAACCCCCTTCCTTCTCAGCCTTCAGGCATCTTGTCACTGCTTTTACCACCTGCGCAGGAGACACTAGTCTAGCCTGCCTGCCTCCGTTCCTATCTTTTGATGGTTTGACGGGTGACTCCTTACTGAAGACATTAGTGCCCTCTTTCGGGATTATGGCACGTCATTACAATATTTTCTAGAGACTAAAACCTGAACAATGGAGTTGTCTGTGTTCCCTGTGTGTTTGTTTATACCACTGAACACTTGCTTACAGAATTACGAATATAATTATCCACATTTATTAAATATATATTAATATCTTGTTAAAGTTAGAATGCAGTTGCAAATAACAAAATGCATTCATCTTAAATTTTTAAAAGAATGGACATGAAAACCAGTAGAAGGCCTCTGTCAGATGATCAAACGATCCCCTCATGGTACAATTGCCATGGAATTGCGGTTGTCTTGATCCACGCTATCTGCCACAGCCAGTTTCGTAAGAGCTTCACTCTTCAGGTTGTGGTCATTCGATTGAACTTGCAGGGAAAGCTGAGAGTATGCTCACTGTACCTCCCTCCAGATTGAATTTTCGGAAAATTTACTTTTATTGACTTAATCTGTAAGTTACTCTACCTGTTCTTCATCCTGGTTGACTTTAATGCCCACCACCCAAAGTGGGATGTGGGTTGTTTTGTCCCAGACATGGGGAATGAGGAGATAATGTTTTTATGGGGGCACCATGCTGACACTTTTGGATGTTAGCATCCTAAATGATGGGTCCCTGGCCTCAAAAGAGGTTCATGGCCAGAAGGCCATGAACCTCTTTTTCAGTTCTGTGTATCTGGGCTTCAGATAGCCAGGTCTCCCTTAGTTACATGATAGTGATCGTTTTTCTCTCCTCCAGAAGTTGGAGGATCCTCCCATCCAGTTTGTCCTCCATAGTGGAAGCTGGAGGGACAGACCAGTGGCTCTTTAAGCTCGGAAATAGATCTCCTGTGTCCTTAATGATTTCTGTGACGTACAGGGGGATTATGACTGGCTATCATTCCTTGACCATGCCATTGGTGAAACAAAGATAGTGAGAACCATTATCAGATTGTGCGTATGGCCTATCATCGCCTCAGCGGCCACTGTATGTCAAATCTAGCGAGATTTCCCTGGATCTCCATCATGGATAAATGGGCCTGCAGCACCACTTCTGGGTTCAGCATACACCCGGCAACCCAATTCAAGTTGTGGTCTAGGCAGTGGAGGGAGGAAACTCGTTGCTCATCCTTTCATTTCGTGTTCAGGTTCAGGCTACTCTTCTGGACTGTATTCTCGATGTGTCTGAGGTCAGAGAGGTTGGGTTCTCTCCCTGTCCTTGTATGGTGACTGAGTACGTCTTTATAAGCTGTAAAGAGGGACCCCTCAGTATCAAACTACAGCGATGACTTTAATTGATTTCTTCTAATTTTTCAATGCTTCAAGGATAAAGATATTTTCTGATTAGTCAAAGAGCGAAGGTGGTGTTGGCTTTGTTGCGACTGCAACTAATTTTCTGCATAATCACCAAATGAGTCCCCTGTGAGCTCCATGCAGTCTTCGCTGTTCTCGTCCTGATAGTTGACCAAGGCGGTTCTTGGTTTGTTGTTTTCTCTGACTCCAAGTGCACTGTTTGCCATGACCCAAAATGCTTCGCTTACCCTTGTGTTCAAATGATCCAATATGGGTTAGCTTATTTCATATTGGTACTCGGACCATGTTGGTGTTCCCTGAAAATTAACAGAGAGATACTAAGGTGAAGGTTGCCATTACGAACCTCACAGTGACTTCATAAGCCTCATAAATAGATATGTCCCTGAGAACTGGCGGGCAGGTGAGTCTGTACAGACTAGAAGTAAGTTATACAGGGTTCGGCAGGGCTTGGGTGTTTGGCCCCTCCCCCTTCAAAATATAAATCATATCATATAAATCATGTCACCCTTCAACAGTGATCTTCATTTTGAGATGATTCTGTCGACTAAGGGTCGAGCACACACACATCTCACCCATAGCCACCAGCCACCTATTTACAGGTGGGTACGGGTGGCTGTGTAGTATGTGGCGTGCGGCTCACTGTGGAATACATTTTAACTAATTCCCCAAGACTTAGGCCCTTTTTGCTTACTTCGTTGTTTTAAGAATTACCAGGGTGACTGTAGGACTCTTCTGACATTAATAATAATTGAACGGGATTTTTAACTGATGCTTTCTATTGTAACTTGGTATGATAGTATCAAGATGTGTTGTGTATTTTATTCATGCTGGTAGGTTTTAATCGTTAATTTTACATTTTGTCACATTTATTTATTTCCAAAAGCGCTGAATAATTCAAGACTCATAAATACCTACTTTACACAAATAACCCGCACATAAAAGAGAGAAGCTTACGACGACGTTTCGGTCCGACTTGGACCATTGACAAAGTCACACTAACCAGAGGTGGAGCAGGACGGCTATATATAGGCAGGAAGAGGTGGTGGTACTAGTAGTAGTAGTAGTACAAGAGTTGTATATAATACCGACAAGATGAAATTAAGACACATGCACAACACCCGGGCATCCCTATCATAGACGTTTCGCCATGTGTCTTAATTTCATCTTGTCGGTATTATATACAACTCTTGTACTACTACTACTACTACTACTACCTCCACCTCTTCCTGCCTATATATAGCCGTCCTGCTCCACCTCTGGTTAGTGTGACTTTGTCAATGGTCCAAGTCGGACCGAAACGTCGTCGTAAGCTTCTCTCTTTTATGTGCGGGTTATTTGTGTATCGTTCCAGTCACGGTATTGTGCCTTTTTGTTATTAAATACCTACTTCTTGGTAGAGCGAAGTGTAGTTTATAATTAATTATCTTATGGCTTTTCAGCATTATCTAGGTATCTTGAAATAAACAGAGGAACCACTGTGAAACTCAATAATAATGAACTTATTGCTGACAGGAGCGTGAAGTTGTTCTACAAGGGGGAGATCACTGACAACAACAATGTGGCTGGCTACCGTTACTGGGGCACCAACGAAACCTTCGCTAATGAAACTGTTGTCCCGGGCAACGAGTGTTACTGCGTCAAAGGCACTTGTGCCCCCACAGGTGAGATTTATATACCTGCCACCGACATAGGTGAGACACAAGACATGCTCACCCACAGGTAATGCCAGTATACTGACCTGCTGTGAGTGGGTCGGACTCGAGCGTTCACATCTCTGTGCTAAAACAGTTCTCTCTATAAATCACAGTAACTATCAGTATTTTATAAAACAACATAAAGGGAAATAATGCCCAGTCCTCAGGGCCAGACGGAAAGTTTTTCAAACTGCCGATCATTTGTTGTCAGTGAAAACGTTAATAAAATCATTTATCAAACCATTTTTATAGTTATATACAAATCTGTAAAAGGAGTGAAATAGTGTAAACTGAGTAAAATAGCACTTAGCGGGAGTTACACCTTTACAACTTTAAAATAAAAGGTTATACAGTAACAGAGTAACGAGAAGTGAGGAGAAACAGGGAGATAGATCTATCTGTTTCCCAAAGGTCTGCCCTTGTTTCCACATAGCTGCCGTTAAGGAATACCACCGTAGAACCTTTTAACAGTGAAGTAACCTATGGTGCACAAACCTCTATCTATTATATACGGTCTCTCACAACTGAATGACCGCGATTCGATTCCGGCACAAGTGGAAATGTTAGGCATAATTTCTTACACCTGTTACTCATGTTCACCCAACCGTATGAAGGTACCTGGTTGTTAGCCGACACCTGTGGCTTGCATCCCAGGGAAAGTCTTAGTGTATTAGATAGGACAGAGCTTTGAAATGATCTGAGGTAACACAATGGTTCTTAACTTGTAAGTTCAACTGTATAAAAAGAACTCTTTCCTCTCAAGGTCTTCTGAACGCTGAGTCGTGTCGCATGGGGTCCCCAGCGTTCATTTCCTTCCCTCACTTCTTGAACGCTGACCCTTTCCTACTGGACGGCGTGGAGGGCATGACGCCTCCTGAAGAGGAAATACACTCCTTCTTTATAGACATCATACCGGTGAGAACAATTTTCATAGTTACAAGAGGCTTTCTAGCCATGTCTGGTAGTGACAACAGCCTCTCTAGCAGTGTTTAGTAGTGTCAACAACCTCTTTATAAAGGATTTCATAGTTACAAATGCCTCTGTAGGAATGTAAAAAAAAAAACACGTAGCAGTGAGAGCAATGTTATAAGACAACTTTTTGCCCTATTTAGGGCGAAAGGTCTTCTACTCGTCAGCTACACGTCATCCATTGAAACAGTCTCCCTGCTTCAAACTGGTGAGGTCCTCCCTTTTTCACATTAATTAGAAACTTTCCATCAGAGTCTCTTCCGCTTCATTAAAGTATCAGCCTCTTCGTTCTATACCGATGTTGTGTTTGCGGAAACGCTAAACCAGTACGTAGCTCATTCGTCGGTAATTGCGTTCCGGTTTCTGACCAGTCAGACTCTTTGAGAACCTTTGTATTGAGGACGTCAGACCTCTGTTTCATACCGTTTAAAAGGGCTATATGTCATACCAGTAACGCTATCTTGATCTCGTACCATTAATAGCATCGCTACCTAAGAGAAAAAACAGCTAAATATAAATCCGGAAAGAAAACTTTAGACGATGTTTCGCTCTCTGTCTCAAATGCAACTGACCCAATATTCACCACCTGACTCTCCAAACTATACATGCTCATATACTCTTTACCCAAGTAGATATGTTTGTGACTTTGTGACTTGATAAAACCCACTGTGTGGGCGAAACGTAGTCAATAAAGGCTCGCATTATACTCCATTTGTGTATATTTTTCCATAATCAAATCAGTAGACGCTTAATAATCTGTGGTCGTGGATGGAGCGAAGCTTAGTCTAGTGTGTCTTATCAGAATTTTGGCTAAGTTATTATGAGTCTCTTTCACGTCTCAGTATCTTACTTGATGCCAGTAACCTTCTCAAGGTTCAGTGTTAAGATGAAGGTAATGGCTGTGCTAAACTCTTCACCCCCACATTAGGCTGTTATAAACCGTTCACCCCACAGCTGCTCTAAACTGTTCACCTGCACAGGAGGCTGTTCTAAACTGTCACACCCCACAGGAGGCTGTTCTAAACTGTTCACCCCACAGGAGGATGTTCTAAACTGCTCACCCCACAGGAGGATGTTCTAAACTGCTCACCCCACAGGAGGATGTTCTAAACTGTTCACCCCCACAGGAGGATGTTCTAAACTGTTCACCCCCACAGGAGGATGTTCTAAACTGTTCACCCCACAGGAGGATGTTCTAATCAAAAATTCACCTCACAGGAGACTGTTCTAAACTGTTCACCCCCACAGGAGGCTGTTCTAAATTGTTCACCCCAACAGGAGGTTCTTCTAAACTATTCACCCCACACTAGATTGTTTTAAATTGTTCACCCCACAGGAGGTTGTCCTAAACTCCTCACCCCCACACGTGGCTGTTCTAAACTGTTCACCCCACAGGAGGGTGTTCTAAACTGTTCACCCCACAGGAGGCTGTTCTAAACTGCTCACCCCACAGAGCTGTTCTAAACTGCTCACCCCACAGGAGGCTGTTCTAAACTGCTCACCCCACAGGAGGCTGTTCTAAACTGTTCACCCCACAGGAGGGTGTCCTAAACTGCTCACCCCACAGGAGGCTGTTCTAAGCTGTTCACCCCACAGGAGGCTGTTCTAAACTGTTCACCCCACAGGTGGATGTTCTAAACTGTTCACCCCACAGGTGGATGTTCTAAACTGTTCACCCCACAGGAGGGTGTTCTAAACTGTTAACTTCACATTAGACTGTTCTAAACTGTTCACCCCACAGGAGGCTGTTCTAAACTGTTCACCCCACAGGAGGATGTTCTAAACTGTTAACTTCATACTAGACTGTTCTAAACTGTTCACCCCACAGGAGGCTGTTCTAAACTTTTCACCCCACAGGAGGCTGTTCTAAACTGTTCACCACACAAAAGGCTGTTTTAAACTGTTCACCACACAGAAGGCTGTTCTAAACTGTTCACCCCACAGAAGGGTGTTCTAAACTGTTCACCCCACAGAAGGGTGTTCTAAACTGTTCACCCCACAGAAGGGTGTTCTAAACTGTTCACCCCACAGAAGGGTGTTCTAAACTGTTCACCCCACAGAAGGCTGTTCTAAACTGTTCACCCCACAGAAGGCTGTTCTGAACTCTTCACCCCCACATTAGGCTGTTATAAACCGTTCACCCCACAGCTGCTCTAAACTGTTCACCTGCACAGGAGGCTGTTCTAAACTGATCACCCCCACAGGAGGCTGTTCTAAACTGTTCACCCCACAGGAGGATGTTCTAAACTGCTCACCCCACAGGAGGATGTTCTAAACTGCTCACCCCACAGGAGGATGTTCTAAACTGTTCACCCCACAGGAGGATGTTCTAAACTGTTCACCCCACAGGAGGATGTTCTAAACTGTTCACCCCACAGGAGGATGTTCTAATCAAAAATTCACCTCACAGGAGACTGTTCTAAACTGTTCACCCCCACAGGAGGCTGTTCTAAATTGTTCACCCCAACAGGAGGTTCTTCTAAACTATTCACCCCACACTAGATTGTTTTAAATTGTTCACCCCACAGGAGGTTGTCCTAAACTCCTCACCCCCACACGTGGCTGTTCTAAACTGTTCACCCCACAGGAGGGTGTTCTAAACTGTTCACCCCACAGGAGGCTGTTCTAAACTGCTCACCCCACAGGAGGCTGTTCTAAACTGCTCACCCCACAGGAGGCTGTTCTAAACTGCTCACCCCACAGGAGGCTGTTCTAAACTGTTCACCCCACAGGAGGGTGTCCTAAACTGCTCACCCCACAGGAGGCTGTTCTAAGCTGTTCACCCCACAGGAGGCTGTTCTAAACTGTTCACCCCACAGGTGGATGTTCTAAACTGTTCACCCCACAGGTGGATGTTCTAAACTGTTCACCCCACAGGAGGGTGTTCTAAACTGTTAACTTCACATTAGACTGTTCTAAACTGTTCACCCCACAGGAGGCTGTTCTAAACTGTTCACCCCACAGGAGGATGTTCTAAACTGTTAACTTCATACTAGACTGTTCTAAACTGTTCACCCCACAGGAGGCTGTTCTAAACTTTTCACCCCACAGGAGGCTGTTCTAAACTGTTCACCACACAAAAGGGTGTTTTAAACTGTTCACCACACAGAAGGCTGTTCTAAACTGTTCACCCCACAGAAGGGTGTTCTAAACTGTTCACCCCACAGAAGGGTGTTCTAAACTGTTCACCCCACAGAAGGGTGTTCTAAACTGTTCACCCCACAGAAGGGTGTTCTAAACTGTTCACCCCACAGAAGGCTGTTCTAAACTGTTCACCCCACAGAAGGCTGTTCTGAACTGTTCACCCCACAGAAGGCTGTTCTAAACTGTTCACCCCACATTAGGTTGCTCTATAAGTTCTAACTCCCCCGGAGCCTCTGCCAAGGTTGTCTCCCCACAAGAAATTAATTCACAGTGTGTAATTTCACAGTAGCGTTGTTGTAACCATTATCACCCCACAGGAGGTTGGAACCCCCATGTCAGTGTCGGCCAGGATGCAGATCAACATGCATGTTGTGCCTTACCCGGGCACCAAGTTTCCTTACATGGATAAAGTGAAGTAAGTTCAAGAACTTCAAGTTGTGTGTGTCTGTGTGTGTGTGTGTGTGTGTGTGTGTGTGTGTGTGTGTGTGTGTGTGTGTGTGTGTGTGTGTGTGTGTGTGTGTGTGTGTGTGTGTGTGTGTGTGTGTGTGTGTGTGTGTTAGTTAGTTACCATTTGTCCTAGCACATGTCGATTAGACACTAGGCCTGTTGTATAAGCGTGTGTATGTGTGTGTGTGTGTGTGTGTGTGTGGTGTGTGTGTGTGTGTGTGTGTGTGTGTTGTGTGGTAGTGTGCGTGTGTATGTGTGTCTGCTCACCATTTTGTCCTAGGCACATGTTGATTAGACACTAGGCCTGTTATGTACATGCGTGTGTGTCTGTCTGTGTGTGTGTGTGCGTGTACTCACCTAATTGTAGTTGCAGGGGTCGAGACTCAGCTCCTGGCCCCGCCTCTTCACTGAACGCTAT